TCTACTGATCCCACTCACCAGTCACCATACCCATGTGTTATATACTCTCTTTCCAAAAAGCCCACGCACCTCCTGCACTCACCTAACGTTTGCTCCAACTGAAAAAACCCCAGCCGTCTTTGATGGGCAGGTCAGAGGCGCATGCCTGCCTGCCTTCCTTGCTCCTTCCTTCCGCCAGCACTGTAACACTAAGCCCCACGTATTATTAGAAGCTCAGTGAAGGTCTGTCTACCCGTTCCCCTGAACCACCCAGCTCCTGCCAAACCTCTCGAACCATGCCCACACTTTGTAGCTTGTCTGGCCGCTTACCTGCCTATCCCAGAGAGGCAAGTACAAGTGCTTTTAAAGGCCCTGTTTCTAGCTCTGCTTCCCAAAATGACAGCGATTCTCCAGTGCACTAGCTGGCCAAGGCCATGCTGAGCCAGATCTGAGCTTTTACCTGTGCAGGGCAGGGCTGAGCGACTCAGCTAGCTTCAAGCAAATCGTGGGAGAAGGAGTTTCAGGAGCGTGCATCTCAAAAACACTTTGCTCAAATACGTTTGAATCTGGGATACTCAATGTACCCTGCATCCACTGCCCTCCTCACGGCACACCAAATCTGAGGGCAACGGGATGAAGGATAAGATAATTTCAGTGTCTTTGAAAACATCTCCTAGCAGAAAAGGTTCTCTCTGCCTGGACTACACAGGAGCTGGCGTGCTGCTCTTATACCAAATCCAGATTAGACAAAGAGCTTACTGGAAGCAGTCATTTGTCACTCTGCAATAAGAGTCCGGTTCATCTCGGTACAGCAAGATGATGTGAAATACTCTCCTTGTTTCATCGAGCTGGGTCTCATGATTGCACTCAGTTACTGAATTGGCATTCAACAGAGAACTAACGTTTTCTAAAATAGACACCAAAACACTCCCATTATGAAATTAGGATCTTTCTATAAAAAGAGCAATAGCTAATGCAGTGGTAAACCTTCACACTTAACCCTGCAGCTGCCTTTAAAAGGAGCAAAGACTGACGTGCTCCAAGGCACCATTTAAATGCGCCAGCACGCAATGAAGGGCCAAACACAGGGCTTTCTACAGGGGCAGAGTTAAGGTCACTTGTTTTCTGGCATGAGAAAAGCAACCGCATATCTCCCCTTCTGCTCCTCCTAGGTTCCTAACAAGAGAACATGGCTCTCCTTGGATCCCTCCCAACTGCCTTTGTTTGGATTTCCTCCATCTCAGCTTCTTGCAGGACAATATGCACGCAGTGCACACGCAGTGGCCTACAACCTTAACTTCACTTCATAGTTCTGGTCGGGAGTTTAAAGCAGAATCTCACTTTGCCAAGACCAGCTTTAGGAGAGCACCACTGGTGGGAGCTGTGTACCTCAGCAGGCCCTTTTAATTCCTAAAGGTGGCCAAAGCTTTTCTGTAGGTGGTACTAACAGGTAAGCATCTGCTTTGCCTCATTTTCCCCTCAGACAGTGTCTCGTAGTGAATTTGGAAGATGCAAGGAAAAAACATCTGAGTTAATAACAAGCCCACACACGTGAAGACGATGAACCTCTCAGACCTGCCAGCCTGGTCAGATACCTTACTGAAGGCACAAAAATCAGAGAGGAGAAATGTTTTTACCTGTTTCAATGTCATCTATCGAACTCAATCCATTGGAAGCGGTCTGCAAAGATGATGTAGGGA